CGCCAGGCAAGATATAAGTTTTTGTAGCCAGCTAAGTATTTTATTTTACTCCGATGGTTGTGAGAGCCGCAAGAAGTGGTCTATCTACTTGACTTGGTGACTAAACTGAGTTGTGGAGAGAGCACAGATGAAGGATCCAGATAATACATGATGAAAGCTTCAACTAAAGTATAATTAGCAGGGCTGGGGATTTAGCTCAGTGGCACAGATTTAGCTCCTGCCTGGCAAGCACAAGGTTGTGAGTTCGATTCCCAGTACTGGAAAAAAAAACAAACAAAAAACCCAAAGTATAATTAGCTATAACTGACAAATAAATATTCTCATGTGCTGTAGATTTTACTAGGCAGGAGAAAATGGAATAGTGCTCCTAACTAGTCCTATTTTCAAACATGTCTTTCTCCCTTGTTTATTTATGCAAAAGTTATCTCCTCTATTCAGCTACCATTTCCTTAATGGAAGATCAAAGACATCCATGTCTAATCCATCTTTGTGTTGTCCATACCTTCTAGCACAGGCCTATTATATATATTTATCCTTCTGTAAATATGAGTTGAATAAGTAGGAAAGATAACATTTGTATGTATTGACAATGGGAGACAGGTTCCAGGGTGTGTATTTCAACCAGGAAAAAGCCCTTCAACTCCCTTTGTGAGGAAGGCTGCTTTCTCTATCACCCTACAAATCTACGTGTCCACCAACGACCTTCAGAGCCTTCAGAGCATCACTGCTCGCCGTCTTCTTAGGCTTGGTAGGCACAAACTGCATGTAATTCCCAGTATACTGCCAGACATTTGAAAATAATCCAATTAATGAGTAAGCTACCCCACTAGGACTACACATTTCCAGGGCTAGGGACAAAGTGAATGGCGGTGTCTTGTCAAAGATTCAGGACATCCACTCACTTATGATTTCTAAAATCTTGGGTTCACCAGGATTCTGTAAAGTTTTCCATTTCCAAATGCATTCTAAAATTAGCAGTATTTTAGGTGCTAAAACTGTATAGCAATACAGCATAGCTGCATTTAATGTTTATGTTTACCATGGAACTTTCATGTTTGTGTTTTTATAGTGCAAATCACAATAGCAATGTAATCAACTCTTATCAGTATGGAAAAATAGCATCTTATGTTTTTTGTATACATATAAACCCTTGTTCTTCCTTGTTTGATTGTTTTCTTCCTGCTTTCTGCTCTTAAGATTGTTTAGCTCTTTATTTATGATATGCTAAAATTTAATAATCTTATTATTGAAAGAATTTAAACTCCCAAGCCCCAAATTTTAGAGCAATAACTAAAAGACAGAAATCAGTTTTAAGCAAAATAATTGAGCACATAGCCTCTTCCCAGCACTTTTTTAAAAAGAAGCGTTTTATTTTAAAGTACTTTCAGACTTACTGAGAAACTATAAAGATTGTAAGTTGACATTTTATTCAAATTTCCTTAGTCTCTTTCACACACACATACACACTCTCTCTCTCCTTTTCTTTTCTTTTCTCTTTTCTTTTCTTTTCTTTTCTTCCTGTGGCAGTAGGGATTGCACACAAGGCCTTGGGCATGCTGACAGGTGTTCTACTTCTAAGCTACCTCCCCAGACCCTAATATTCTTTTTCTGTGTCAAGATCCTACCCAAAGTTGGACATGGTGCATGACTGTAGGCCCTGAGTTGAGAAGCTGAGGCAGGAAGATCACTTGCACCCGGGAGTTCAAGACCAACCTAGGTAACAGAACATAGAAACCCTATCTCAAAAAAAAAAGTAAGGAGTGGGGAGGAAAGGTGAGCAAAAGAAGGGAAAGGAAGGAAAGGAAAGGGAAAGGGAAGGGAAGGGAAAGGAAGGAAGAAAAGGAAAGGGAAGGTTAAAGAAAGAAAAAACCCCATCCAGCACCCCCACCTTCAGAATCAGCTATTTGTCCTAGGGTCCCTGGCTCTTTTATTGCAGAATTGTGTTATATACCAAGATCTGGGTGTGCTATGACAATTTCTAAGATTCTTCTAGTTCTTGATGACCTTGGAAGTCTTGATGGGTACTGGTTAGGTATTTTGTAAAATTTCCCTCGATTAGAAGTCATCTGACATTTTTCTCATGATTAGATCAAAGCTGGGGGTTGGGGGAAGAAGAGCAGAGAGTAAAGTGCTATTGTCTTCACACCCTAGCAAGGCGCATGCTACCAATATGATTTATGACTGTGATAGTGACTTTCATCACTTGCCTGGGATATAACTCTCCCCCTCCCTTTCACACTGTCCTCTTTAATGGGAAGTCACATTGTACAGCCTAGTTAAGAAGTGGGGAGTTGCAGTCCACCTCTCTTGTAGCAAAAATATCTACATAAATGATTTGAAATTCTTCTGTATGGGCGATTTGTCTATTTTCTCCCATCTATTTCTTCCATAATCTATGTCAGCATGAACACATGGATATTTATTTTATGTTCTGGGCTACAATTCAATGCCACTTTATTTTATAGCTCAAATTATTCTAGTTTTGGCTACCATGAGCTCCTTCGGTTGGCTCCTGTGTCCCTTTGCTAAACACTTCTTTAAATTCTGGAAATACCATACACTGTAGGCTCATCGTGTGTATTTTTCACCCCCACCTTCAGAATCAGCTCTTTGTCCTAGGGTCCCTGGCTCTTTTACGGTAGAACTGTGTTATACACCAAGATCTGGGTGTGTTTTTTACTGCTGGAGTGCTATGACTTCTAGGCTGTCTCAGCCAGCAGAGAAATAACACACGCACGTCTATATTAACCCATGTATGCACATATAGACCTATAAATATTTCCATATGTAATAATATAAATATCTATACTGAGCCAAATATGAGTTGATGCTGATATCTTCAGCCCTAACCCAGTTCCACATACTCCTCTCTTGCCGGTCTGTGTGCCCTTCCTCCTACCTCCTCCTTCCTCCTACCTGGCTCCCACCACGAGCCAGCCATTCATTTTCTTAGTTTCAATTCCAATGTCTTACAGGGCAGCACTTACTTAAGGTAGCACTTTTTCCCACACGGTCTGTTTCAGTGAGATTGTTTTGTACATTTCTAACGTGCTTAGATTCTTTTATCCTATTTTGCATTCCACCCTGGGATCCTCCAACCTCCAAAATGATTTATAATTTTTTTATAATTAAAGTTGTCGCTTTGTTCTGTAAAGCCCTACTGGTTTTGATGAGTGCATAGTGGCATGCCTCTGCCTTTACAGCAGTGTTATAAAGAATAGTTTCACCATCTGTCTCTGTTACTTTTCTCTCGTTGCTGAGGCAAAATACCTGACACCCAAAATTAAGGAAGGAAAGGTTTATTGAGCTCACAGTGTGTGGAGGTTTCAGTCCATACTTGGCTGGCTCCAAGACAGAGTGGCACATGGCAGAGGGCAACAGGTCATGGTGGTGGAAAACAGGGAAAGCAGAAGGAGCACAAAGGGAGGAGCAGCAGCAAGCGGGCTCCTTCCCTCCCTTACATTATATGCAAACTACCCACCCCGGAGTGGGTGTAGCACCCACACCTGTGAATCAATCATAAACTCTAGAAGCCCATCCCATGACTGCATGAGGCTTCGTGGGGACATCCAGACACAAACCATAACATCTCCCTAAAAAATATCCGATGTTTTACCTATTCAACTCTTCCTCTCACCATGAGTCCCTGTTAGCCACTGATCTACTTAGCATCTGAGAGCTGTGCCTTTTCCAGGATGTTGTACAAACAGAGCTGTGCATTATGTAGTCTCTTAAAATTGATTTCTTTTACTTAGCAACGTACATTTAAGTTTGATTCATGTTTTCATGTCGTTCAAAAGCTCATTCCATTGTGTGAACATGCCACAGTTTGTTTAGCCATTTGTCTACTTAAGTTTGCTTCTAATTTTGGGTAGTTATGAACAAAACTGCTACAAACAGTCTGATGCTGACTCTATGTAGACATAAGTTCTCAAGTCAGCTGGGTAGATATGTAGGTGTATGACTGGCAGGATTATGTTTCATAAGAAATTGCCAAACTTTTTCCAGTGTGGCTCCTACCACTTCGAACTAGCAATGAATCAAAGGTCCTGCTGTTTCACAAAGTTTTGTCAGTCTTTGCCAACAAATGGTATTGTTAGATTGTTTTTAGACATGAGCCTTTTAATCTGTGTCTAATAATATCTCACTGTTGTTTCACTACTTTTTAAAAGAATAAAGATTGTAAGGAGTAGGGAGTAAAATTGAAAACCAAACAAGAAATCTGAGTCATTGGCATGAACCCCTGAGGACAGTCTGAAATAGTTCAGTCTGTAGGAGAAAAGGTGCTTCTTTTTAGGTTGTATTAGAAATGGGATCTAGAAACCTGTATCTTTTTTCCTCCATTGGCTTTAGTATCTACATTTTTTCTTCTCAAATAAGACAAAAACAAAAGAGATGTGTGAGTTAAGCTTTACATGAGAAAAATGCAGAAAAAAATTCTCAAAACACAAAATACAATTTCCAAGCTGAAAAAATAAAAGATGCCAAAGCTGGGTGTGGTGGTGCACACCTGTAATCCCAGCACTCGGGAGGCTGAGGCAGGAGGATCCTTGCAAGTTCGAGACCAGCCTGAGCTACAAAGTGATCTCAAGGCCAGCCTGAACTGCATAGTGAGACCCTGTCTCAAAAAAGACTAAATAAATAAATAAATAAAAATAAAAGGTGCCAATGAGGAAAAAGAAAGCCATCACCTGAGTAGAGGAGATTAAATTCCAAAACTTCTTTTTCTTTTTCTTTTTTTTCTTTTTTTTTTGAGACAGGGTCTCCCTATGCAGTTCAGGCTGGTCTTGAACACACTTATGTAGCCCAGGCTGGCTTTGAACTCACAGCGACCCTCTGCCTCAGCCTCTCCAGTGCTGGGATTACAGGTGTGTGCCATAAATTCCAAAAATTCTGATGGCTCATTTTAGAAACGGTACTTAGAATTTGTTTTAAGCAGATATAATGAGGCACGTAAATACCATAAAGGGTCATAATGGGTTTTTAATATTTATAGATCCTTAAAATCAGGAGGCAGAGCACACCATGTGAGGCCTGCAGAGAGGAAAAGGCAGTGAGAGGAAAACATTAGCAAGAGCTCCTATTGTGCTTTCCACCTGAAAGGTAAGGCAAGGCAGAGTAAGCAGGTTTAGGATGTGCTAGGCTGAACAATTTCAGTGGGGCCATCTGTCTCTAGGGGCCTGGGGTCATTAGGGCACAGGGTGATGGATCTGTCAGTCACAACCCGTTAAAGGCAGTGGTTGAGGTGTGGACTCTCAATTGATCACTTTGCATAGGAAACACAGGCTCCCAGACTAGTTGCTTGTTTTCTCTAGGATTTTGCTAGCCTGGCAAGGTGGTGTCCCTTCCAATGTCAGCAAGTCCCCAAGATGACAGAGCATCAGAATAAAAAGATATGTTTAGTCTACTTCTCCTTGCATAGATTTCATTATTCAGTCTATTTTCTTATTGCTGTCTCAGGCTGCCTACCCTTCCTGGCACCTGAGGTCTGAACCGTGTAAGACCCCCAATGCTTAGGGCAAGATTTCCTCTAAGTCCTAGAAATATGTGGTTGCTTCTGGTCTTGATGACTCACATACACCTGTCTTGTACTTCAAGCTTTGTAAAGCACGCCAGTGCACCTGTTGCAGGACCCTCGGTGACCCCTCTGGAGGTGGAGGATTTGTCGTGTAGTTTTACTGTCATTTAACATTTCTCAATCTTTCCACTTGCCAAAGAATCTAAATATTTACAGCTCTGTTATCCATATATCATCCTGTGTTCTGTCTCCCTTTTTCTTCTCTCAGCTTTCTGTGCTATCTTTCTTCTAGGCTTCTCCTACTGCTTCATTCATCTGACACACATTTGTGGCACAGATTCTGTAACCGTAGCTGTGCCAGGTCCCGGGAACACCAAACTGAATAAGCTTGTCACTACATGGTAGGAAAAATAGGCAGGAACAGAGGTGTTGAGGTCTGATAGTGTGGCAGTCACATTCTTAAGAATTATTCCTCCTAATCTTCTCTCTCAGAGTAGATTCCACCCTGATGTCCCCTCGCTATCACCATTCTTGGTCTGCAGATGGCCACCTTCTCTCTGTCCTCCCACGGCCTTTTCTCTGCGCACAGACATCCCTGGTGCATTCTTGTGTATACAAATTTCTTCTTCTTATAAGGACACCAGTCAGATTGCATTACGGTTCATTTATATGATCTCACTTACTGTTAATGAATTCTTTGAAGCCCATGTCCTCCAGGGGTCATTCTGAGACTTTGGAGAATAGAACTTCAACATGTAAGTTGTGGGAAGGGAACAATTCAGCCCATAACACTGCTGGAATCCTAGTCATCCTCCAAAGTCCTCTTCAGATATATTTTCCCTTCAAGAAGTCTGAAATGTAATAGGCTGCAGTCTCTCTTCCCTTATAATACCTTTACTACAGTCCACCACTTAACAAGGTCCTAATGAAGAATGCAATGTGTGAACCATGTCTTGTTTTATAAACAATGTATTATTATTATTATTGTATCTTTCAAGGCCATGTAACTTAGTGCTTTACACAGTGTAAAAACTCAACAAAAATTCAGTAGGTGAATGAATAAAAAACTGTGGTTCACCCAGTCCATGGACTATCATTCAGTCTTAAAAGTAAATTGAGGGGCTGGGGATTTAGCTCAGTTGCACAGCGCCTGCCTGGCAAGCGCAAGGTTGTGAGTTCGATTCCTGGTACCAGAAAAAAACAAAAACAAAAAAAAGTAAATTGATAATCAAGCAATGAAAAGACTTGGAAGTCCAGGTGCCGCAGTGCATGCCTGTAATTCCGGCACTTTGAGAGGTGGTGGTAGGAGAAATTTCAAGTCCAATTTAAGCAACTTCGTGACTTAGTAAGACCCTGCCTTTGGAATAAAATATTTAATAAAGGGCTAGGAATGCTGCCCAGTGAGAAGGATTTGGGTTCAATTCTCAGTATCTCTCTCTCTCTCGCTCTCTCTCTCTCTCTGTCTCACACACACACACACACACACACACAATGCAGGCAAAGTTTAAATGCACATTGCTAAATAAAAGAAGCCAATCTACAAAACATGATTTCAACTATACTACATTTAGGAGGAGGCAAAATTATAGACAGGTAAAATGAGCTGGTGGTAAGGGAGGGGGTGAGGTGGGGGGAGGTGGGGTGTGCTTGAAGGGACGAATAGAGTACAGAGCACTTCTAGGGCAGTGGAAATGTTCCAGATGGTACCGTAATGGTACATACGTGTCACTGTATACTTGCCAGCCACAGAATATACAGCACCAAGTGTGAAGCCTAACGTAAACTATGGACTCGGGTGATAATGATACGTCAATATTGGTTCACCAGTATAACAAAGGTCCTGTTCTGGTGTTAGATTTTAGGGAGAGCACAGGCTGTGCATCTGCGAGGGCAGGAGGTATTTGGAAACTCTCTGTTCCTTCTGCTGTGAATGTAAAACTGCCCTAGAAAATAAAATCTATCACAAGAAAAACAACCAACAAATACTGCTTTTAACTAAACTGGATCCTCTACACAGCCCTCACAATTTTGAAAATTTAGATCTGATGTCCATCTTTGGGTTTTCCATAAACTGGGCTTTCCTTTACAATTCATTAGGTCACTACCCTGACAAAGGATATTAAGGCAATTAAGGAAGAGAATGGGACTAGGGTTCCAGTTCAGCCTGATTGCCATGGAGGGAAACACAGGATTCTCTAAGACTTCCCACAGCATCCCTTTCATCTGCCATTGCAGTGGCCAGAGTGTGTGCTTCTGGGGTCTGCTGCTATGAAAGAGAGGTTAAGATCCACTGTGAGTGCTGCTGCTGGCAAAGGGTAAGTATCCGGGACTGTCAGTACAGAAAGGGACTATAATGGGATAGAGAAGAGGAAGAGATTTGAGGACAAATAGACTACAAGAAGTCAGAGCTGAACCTCAAATCCTTCACCACTTTACCTGGAACACAGATCAGTCATGAAACTCATTAATGGGCCAGGAATGGTGGCGCACGCCTATAATCCCAGCACTAGGGAGGCTGAGGCAGGAGGATCATTTCGAGTTCAAAACCAGCCTGGGCTACAAAGTGAGTTCAAGGCCAGCATGAACTGCATAGTGAGACCCTGTCTCAAAAAGACAAAAAAAAAGAGGAAATTCGCTAATGAAACCCTGGATTCTCACAGGCACCCTCTATCCTGGTCATGTACCTGCATCGTAAAGATCTGCATAGGTGCACTCAGGCCACATTCCCCAGCCCTGTACTGTGAAAAGTCCAATAGTCAATCACCCTATATTAATCATGCCATTGTGTTCACGCTAACCGGAAATCATCTCTCCACTTGTTGATCCACTCCATATAGTTTCACCTGTGTTCCTTAGGGTCTGTCTTAGTTCATTTGGTGGCTGTAACAAGAATACTGCATATCTTAAACAACAGCTATTTATTTCTCACAGTTCTAGATGCTGGAAAGTCTAAAATTAAGACCCAGATCCTTGTCTGCTGAGGGCCTCTTCCTGGTTCAGAGGCACTGTCTTCTCAACCAGCAGAAAGAACAAGGGTCTTTTTGGTGCCTCTTTTATAAAAACACTACCCCCCATCATGAGAGCCCCATCCTTTCAAAAGCATCCTAACACCTTCACACTGAGGATTAGGAGTTTCAAAATATGAGCAGGGTGTGGTGGGGTCGGGGGACACACACATGCAACTCATAACAGGGCCCATAAGAATTAAGGAGGTGTCTCAAGAACCTTCTGGTGAGAGGGTAAGGTGCCAGGGGACAATGATTTCCCACTTCAGCTCGCCAGAGCAGCCATAGTTTCACCTGTAATACTCATCAGGGTCTGGTTAAAACTTCATATAAAAAGGAAAAAACTTCAAAACAAATAATGTACAACAAAATAGCAGTATTACTGGGCCATCAACCCAGATGATCCAAATGGTCTCAATTTCCACACATGCTGTCCCATTGTCAGATAAATCAGAATATGTGCCCCTATCTGGCATTTGGGAAATATGGAGTTGATGATATTTGTAATTTATGCATTATACTGTGTGCATATTTTCATGTCTCCACAAATTCAAGCTCATGACTAAGAAGTGTATTCAACTTTGTACCCTTAGGGTACCTGTCACAGTGCCTTACACTGGTGTTCAACAGATATGAATTAAATGAAATAAGCATGTTAAGTTATATTCACTAACAAGCAGATTTATGCAGCAAGTCCAAAGAGTTACAGTATAAGGGACTGAACTGAACAACTCATCTTTGCTTTCTATACTGAGCCCATGATTACAAATAATATAAAGATAAGATTTTACTGACTAAAAAGGCTACTCTTTGGAATAAGAATTTTTAAGATAGAGTGACGGCAGTTACCAACTATCCCAGAAGCAGCTCAGAATTCAGTGTTTACAAGATAGCTAAGATAATTGTACTGCTAATTTCTACTGACTTATTGAAAGGAACAGTCAATGCTTAAATTTTTTTGACCAAGTTTACATGCTTATATCTGATAATCTGAACAAGTACTTTGAAGATAACCATATGCAATCTAACAACCATTATTGATTTCCTATCATCTTGTTTTGACATCCTGAATCATTTTCAATATTTTTTCTTATTTTTTCATTCACTTTAAAATAAAAAAAAAAATGCAGTGCTTGTGTAAGTTTCACAGCATTTCTGGGCGCAAATGTAAAGGCTCGCAAATACAGATTCTCAGGCGTGCCTAATTTGAGTAGTGTCCTGATTCTCAGATAAGCAACCTGACTGCGGTCAGGAACACGTACATGTCCCTGCAGGGCTCCACTGGAGGCTTTTGAGAATTGTTTCCACATTCAGCCACGCGGGTTTGGAAAGACAAGACACAACAGAGTCTGGCCAAAGACAGCGCCAGAGGTCAGTCCAGTTCCTCAGCGCAAAGTGGGCACCCAATAAATGAGTGTTGAAAATGCAACACAGCTCCCTCTTCTCCTGCTCTAGCCAGTTCAGTGAGCAGTGGGGTAGGTCAAAGGACTGTCAAGGCCACACAGACCCACCTATGTGTCCTTATCCTTCTTGAGGGGAAAAAAAAAAAAGAAACCACAACCATTGTTTCTGGAGAGTTGACAGCCAGGTAAGACTCTTACAGGAGGGCTCCCTGGCACATCAGCTAGTGAGCTGCAAAAAAGGATCCTGGCCCTGAGCCTAAGCAACCTTGGGGTCCTGAAAGGAGCAGGAGACTACTGTCAGACGTGCTTTAGGGATATCCCGGTGTGATACCTTCTTTGTGATGTAAGCAGGACAGTCCTGAGTACCCTCAGCCATATATTTCCTGGTTCTCTTTCTAGGAGTATAAATGAAATGACTTTAATTAGTCAGGTTGCTTATCTGAGAATCAGGACACTACTCAAATTAGGCACGCCTGAGAATCTGTATTTGCGAGCCTTTACATTTGCGCCCAGAAATGCTGTGAAACTTACACAAATTGCGTTTTAATTTTATAGAAGATGAAGTATCTATCCCTTGTGTGCAGGAACTTCTGACACTGAGTAAAAGGACAGGTGATTCAGGCGGCAGATGTCTATAAAGACATCAGGCATCTGTGGGTGTGAGGGTGTGCTGGGTGCGGGGAGAAGCTTTTGGGTACATGTCCTTTCTTCTGTGCTTGTGTGTGAATGCCTGTGGGGAGAGGAGGAGAAATGAAGAAGGAGCATCACTGCGGACTTCGCCTTTCTCCTGTACTTTTTCATCTTGTTTCTCACTAACTCTGACCATTAAGCAATATAATTATTTTCCTGCTTACCTTATAATCACTGTCTTTATCATGTTCCTCTTGTCAGGTACCAAACAAGATGAAGAACCTTTGACGATACAATAATCTAGGTTTATCAGGTATGCAAATGAAGGCGGCTCAGGGAAAAAATTACTAGAGGCTGAAATCTAGAAAAAAGCAATTTACCACTATTAGTACGACCTTGAGTGAATGAATCACAGACCTTTCGCTAGGTTTATAATGACTCATTACACAAAAGCTTTTGCCTTCAGTCCCTTCTGGAAAGAGGAAAAGTGTAAACCACAAAAACAACCTAAAATGAGGATGAAAGGAGATAAATGTAAAAGGATTTTTTAAAGCATAGAAGGCTATATAAATCCCTGCTAATCCTATTTATTAGTCACTGGTTTTTACTGACAATCAGATGGTGCATGCATCTATATTTGAAGGCCTTATCATCCACAAGTTGAATCAGTGCTGGCCTGAGTTCAACAGCTAATACAAATGCAAAAAGCATTCTCGGATTTGGTGGTTGGGTGAGTGACTGTGACCAGCTGGAAAATGTATGCTATGCCTGCAGCCTGCATGCTAACATAGTCTCATAGTCTACCACTTCCTGCTGCATTTGATTAGGAGGACTGAAATCTAACCAAGATGGGACTTGAATTTCTTTATTTACATGAAAATCACTGGTTAGAACAATCCCTCTGCCCTTGGCAACTAGTCAGCCAAATTCTTTAGCACAGGTGAACACATTTCCACAATAGGTGAAGTTCTAATTGGGTAGCAAGGGAATCTTCTTCAACCTGTAAGGAGATTCTTTTAAAAATCTTTCAACCAGACAGGGGATAGAGTTCAGTGGTAGAGCATATGCCTAGTATGTGCAGGGTCCTGGTTTCCATCCCCAGCACCAAGAGGGGAAAAAATGTTCTAATCCTCCAGCTTCTCTTACATTTTTTTTCTCAAATCTGACTTACGGGGATAATCGAGAACATATACCCTCCAGTTCAGCCTGAATGTGGCACTTTAGAGGAAAACCCCAGCTGAGCACACACACCAGTATGCTTCAGCTTTGCCAGAAGAAAAATAGTTATGCATTATACATGGACTATAAAAACGTTTTTTGTAAGCCTTACTTTAAAATGTTTGAATTTTGGAACTTACAATGTTTCATGTGTTTTGTATTTCTTGTTCACTTAGACTAAAGAGAAGTGATAGAAATTTCCGTCTCAGCATATGTGCAGTAGATCCAGAGAATGTTTAATGTACCATTATTCTGTAGCTACAGAGTTTATAAACAAGGCTTTTACTCATTACTGGTTGTAGTTAGGGTGGTATTTGTCAATCACTTATTTATTAAGTACCTACTACGTGCCAGGCCCTGTTTTGGGATAAGAGCTAAAACAGCGCATTAAACTCTCGTACTACAGAAAACAGGCCATCGCATAAATGTGATGTCATGTCAGGTCATGAAAAAATTATTCTCCCTGCTGAATTCAGAGAAATGTAGGTGGGGCTGCTGTTTTAGGGGAGGGAAAGGCCCTGCCTTAAAATCTTTATATCCTGGGCAGATACAGAGGAGCAGGATCTGGAGGGGTGCGTTGTGAACAGCCTGAACACCACTTGGCCAGGGCAGAGGGAGTATCAAGGGACAGCAACTGATAGAAAATGAGGTTGCACACAAAATCCCACATCCCAAGGTTTTGGCCCCTCCAAGTAGAAAGACCACTAGTCTACAGTCTGAACTCATTTTTTGGAGGTTTGAGAGATGATAATAAATTGTAAGGTGAACCTGTGATAAAACCACAATCTCTTTAAGTGTCACGTTAACACACATTAAAACGCATACTTTGTACATTCCCTCCCGTGCCTGTTTACTTATGCATCCACCCGTTTGAAACGCCATTCCTTACTCTTCTCCCTGTGCGACTGGCCTGTAACTCAAGACTCAGTTTGAGCTTGCTTCCTGTAGGAACCCTTCCCTACCTCCTCCGGCTGACCACGCTGAGTGGCTCTCCTTGCTTTGTGACTGCAGGTCTAATTTAGAATTTCCTTGCCATCAATAGATTGGTCTTCAGGAGAACCCCAAAGCTGTACGTGAGAGAGCTTATAACTCCTTTTTTCAAAAAGGGGGTTCATGAATCCCATGAGATTTTAAAATGAATTTGTTACTTAGGAGAATCACTACTCTTGACCAGAGCTTTCTAAACAATAAATTGACACACAAACCCTCCACAGTTCATTAAAATGAAGATTGCAGTTGACTAGGTGTAGGATGAGGCCACTGTTCCCTGGACCGACTGTGCAGCAAGCTGTATTTGTTTATGTACACCGGCATGATGCTTCCCACTCGGGTAGATTGGTCTCTAAACAATAAGAGCATTGCCAACGCTCCTTAGCTCTTCTCCGGAGTACAGACTAGTATAAAAATAACCAAGGATTGGGCCTCACAGGTATTCTACAGATACTGGTTTCAGTGAGGCTTCTAAGACTATTACCAAGTTTTTCGAGGCTAAGTCTTTCCAAAATTCAGAGCAGAATCTCAGAACCCCTAAAATCTTCCTAGATCAAAGTTACCCTCTCTCTTCCACAGGATGTCCCCTGTCCCCAACACACACGTACTGAAATTTAAAGCTATCATAGTATAGGAAATGTACTCATTCGGAAGAATAATCCTCTATCCGTGATGTCTAAACTTTTAGAGACCAAGTGCCCAAACTACAACTCCAAAACCCGCTTATTTATCACAAAATGCCAACACTGCAATTAAACCCGAATATCTGGTGCTCAGCTGCTGAGGTGATGCGGGGCATGTTGGCTCGATTGCAGACAGAGCTCTGCGTGACATGAGACATGCACGCCATACGCTCACCACCTCTGCTCTCTATGAAGGCATTTTTCCCCACTGCAGATGGAAATAACTAACATGGGACATCAAGGAAGCCAGGAGAAAATGGATCACTACCACTAGGCCTTCAAAAAGGACGAAGTGAGACAAACCCTATAAGAAACAGTGTAGAAGAGGGGAAATGGCGTTTGGGAATAAAACTGCAGCCTCCAACAACCTGTCACTCTTTGCTTGCACAAGATGGAAAATGTGGCAATCAGGTGCTTTCAACAGCAGCTAACAATACAACAAATGAAAAAACTTACACAACATGTGTAAACAATGTCTTTGTGTGCAAAAGGAATTTTTGTGATATTTTATAAATATGTATATATATATTTGTTCTTTTTAAAATATCATCTGTGGGGCTGGGGATTTAGCTCAGCGGCAAAAGCGCCTGCCTGGCAAGCGCAAGGTCGTGAGTTCGGTTCCCGGTACCGGAAAAAAACCCCCCCCAAAAAAGGAAAAAAAATAAAATAAAATATCATCTGTAACGAAAGCCATGTATATTTTATAAAAATACCTTTCTCTAAATAACCCAATAACACTTGATTTTTTCAAGTAATCCATACACAGAGTGTATACATTACTGCCGAATGCAATGTGTATTTTGAAATATGAACCTCAAGTAACTCAGACATCTAGAGTAGAACCCAGGTATCTGCCAAAAGAAACTTCTCAGCAGTCGTCCCTTGCAGGAAGGAAACAATGTGTATCTCTTATCTTCTGGACTGGCAAATTTCTAACATCACTTCAGCAGAGTTCTGTATTTGACTTTCGACCTCCTGGCTATTTGACCTGCCAACTATTATTTTCTTTCAGGCGTTTAAGCACTCCACCCAACATTTAGTTTTCCCGAGAGCAGTTGTGTCCGTTTCCTTTTCAACTTCACCTTCAGGCGGGCCAAGCTCTATGGTGTTGGCTTAGCATCCACCCTCTAAGACTCAGACCCATCTGCGGACGTCGCGGCGACGACCTGACGCTGACACCGCTCTGGAAGCCAAGGCTCCTGATTTCCAAGCAACCTGAGCCCGGGGCCAGGCCAGGCCCTGCCCAGACCACCGTGCGGGCTGGGACCTCGCAGCAGGAAAACGCCGCCCTTTCCGGTCTCCTGCTCCTTCCCCAGGCGGACGAATCGCGGAGGAAGAGACGGAGGCCGATTTAAAAATTAATGTTAATTCTCGGGCTTAGGCCAGGGAGGGCGTGCGCGGAGGCGGCCGGGATGATCGGCAGGCGCAGGTGTCGCCGCCCGGAACTTCGCCTCCGGGCGGCTGCCGCGCCCCCCGCGCCCCCGCTGATCCGGGCAGTGGCCGCGCGCTTCCCTCGCCCGAGGGCAACGCTCCACGGGACCGGGGGCGAGGACACGCCTCCTTTGCACGGGAAGAACCTGCCGCCGCGTTTCTGCGCGAGCCACGGTCTCGGCCCACAGCTCCGCGTCTTGGGGCGCCGAGTCCGCTCTCCGGGTTTTGGTGGCGACTGGAAGGGGGCGAACGGGAGGCTGGGGGCGACCCTGCTCTGCGCCCCGGGCCGGCGGCCTGCCGCGCGCCCGGTCGGCTCGAGGCCCGGGAGAGGCGGGCACGCGGGAGCCGCTCCGGCGCGGGGGTGCGGGCGGAGTCCCATTGTCCTCGGGCCAGGCCCGGCGCGCGCGCCCCCGGGCCCTCTGAACCCAGCGTCCCGCTGCCTTTCTTTGTGCCGAGGGAGCCGAGGAAGGCGTCTCCGAGGAAAACCACACCCCCAGGGGGACAGGGGAGGAGACAGTGGGCGCGCATTGTGGCCCGAGAGCCCGGGGACCCCGCGGGGGCGACTGTCGCGCGTGCGCGTGCTCCGGCCGCCCGCCCGCGGCCG